ACACACACACACACACACACACACACACACACTATTTCTCTGTTCCCCTCTCTATCTCGGTGTGCCTCTAACTTTCTATCTCTCTACTTTCTCTCTCTCTCTCTCTCTCTCTCACTCTCTCTCTCTCTCTTTTATGTGTCCATCGCCCTCTATATGTCTTTATCTTTTTCTCTCTCCAACTTGTCCCTCTCCGTCTCTATTTCTCTCTCTCTCTCTCTCTCTCTCTCTCTCTCTCTCTCTCTCTCTCTCTCTGCATCTTTCTTTCTCCCTCACACCCAAGCCAAACGGTCTAACCTGAACACCAGCTCGTCTGGACAGGTCAAGCTGTGTGGGTTTGGCCCGACACAAATGTAAAACTTTTGGCAGTCCTTGAAGTTGTACTCGAACCGAGCACCATCGGAACACAGAGTCCTCTGAGCCCCAGTCATCGTCAGGACAGACAGCAGAACTCCCACGGTTATGAGCGCAGCAGTTGAGATAGGAGGCGCCATTTTCTCGCTGAAGATCTGGTTCTGTTGACCTTTGACAGTAAAAGAAACCCAAAAAATGGTCGCTTTTAAGCACAAGGAGTCTACCCTTAAAAATGCAGAAAATCGAAGGTAAAGTTTTTGGACCCTTGTTCAGTTTCTCTAAAAATATGGAGAGTTTTCTCTTTAACCAAACAAATATACACACCAATGTAACCAAACTTCTCTTATAGGTAGGGCAATGCCCAATTTTGGTGTAGGCCAAGATTTCTGGAAAACACCGAAATTTGTGTTAGCCCGCTTAAAAGCGACCAAATGAAATTAACAAATGTACCGGTTTGAAAACCCTTGCAACACTGTAACGCTATGTAAGAGGCGAGACCTTTGAATATAACATCCATCGCCGATAGGACCTATCCTAATTGGAAAATGCGTGTTACATGACTTCACCAAGAACACAACAACGTCGGACCGAGTTCAGCCTCGGATCAAACCCCCGCGCCTGTGATCTCACGAATACCCCTTTACTGTACACGTGCAGTATGCTTCCTAATCGGTGAAAGCAACAATACTGTTAAATAATATGGACAACAGGAGAAGAGGAAGACCAAGAATAACTTAACTTTGAGAACTTGAGCAGATGGAACGAGGGGAAAAGGTCAGGATATTAATTACTATATGTTTTTAGAACAGACGAGAAGAGTAAAAAACAATGCTACGATTTCTTTCTTTCTTTCTTTTTTCTTTTTTTTTTCTTTCTGTCTTTCTTTCTGAATCTATAGTTGTTTATATAGCTTTTTGTTTCAGCTTCACTTCTACTTGTATGGGTCAACCTAAACTGGGTGAGATATAGTATCTTTGCAGAAAGACGGATATCATTCAATAAAATACTTCGTACTAGACTATCAAACTCACGTACTCTGCATGCAACAATGATGAACCTAACCATTCCTCCAAAGATACCAATGGATGAATGGAGGGACGAGTGAGTTGACGATGTGGAGGGAAGAGTGGATGTATGGAGGAAGGGGAGGGTTGATTGGAAACAATATAGTTTCAAGTCATAGTCAAGTGTCTCCACTGAAAGCCTGTAGTAAAGCCATGCGGTCCAGCCGAATATAGAAGACAAAACAAGCAGGACTAAACCAAGAATCATCATCTTCAAGTGCCATATCAGCGGCAGACATTGGCGATCAAGGTTTTCCATTCATTCCTTTGCTCGAATGCTCTTTATTAATGCTACATTACCCTTATCTTTCCCCGTCACCAATCTATTATTAAGGTTCTTCAAGTAGGTTGTTCTGGGCCTACTCCTGCCTCGTTTGCCTTCAAATTTGCCAGTGTGAGCCAGATGCTCAAGACCTTTATGTCTATTCAGGTGCCTGAGAAGAGATGGATAACGAGAACTACTACAGTGTACTATAGGTATTTTTAAACACCCTAACGGAGAAATCAGTGGCAAACCAAAATAGTGGGTTGTCTGAGAGCGAATGGTTGGAGGGCATAACTGCTACTTTCTGCTTCTTTTCTTTTCATCTAGTATTTTTTTAAACTCTCTGCCTTGCCTTTTCTCTTCGCTAAATGCCCATTATACGAGGGGCATACCAAAAAGCGTTTTACCTGACTATGAAGAAATAAAGATAGAAAGCTGGAATTTGGAGTGAAAGTCAACAGTTTTCTTCCAAGAATACATGTAAATTTGGTGGAATTTCGGATAACTGCTTTTAATACCAGCGCTCGGTAAGTGAATGGGTGTATGTTGTTCTCCAGTTTCAACATAAAAATGGAGAAAAATGAGCACAGGAAAGTAAGGAAGTTTCTGTTCATGCAAGACAAGCAACTACAAGATATTCTACGGAGATGCATGCCGTATTTGGAACTGATTGCCCATCCTATCTGTGATAAAAATTTTGGTGTAAAAAATTCACATGAGAATTCATGGACATTGAAGATGAACGCCGCGATGGTCGCCCAGAGACAGCAACAACAGAAGAAAATATGTTGAAAATCACGAAACTCGTGTTGTCTGATAAGCCAGTGACAGCCGAACGTTTGAGCAAAGAAACTAGGCTTAGCATTGGATGAGTTGAACAAATTTTTAATGAAATTGTGAATATTACCACGGTTTCAGCGAGATGGGCCCCACGTTTAGTTACCCCTCTTCAAAAAATGCAATGTGTGGATTGTTGTCAAGAATTGCATGGTTTGAATGAAAAGGATGAAACTAAATTTTTTGAAAGACTTGTAAACATCGCTGAGACATGAGTCCACCACTACGACTCTGAGTCAAAATCTGCATCAATGCAGTGAAAATCGCCATCGTCTCCAACACTAAAGAAGGCAAAGGTGCAGCCATCAAGTGGAAAAGTGATGCTATCAGTATTTTGGGGACCAAAAAGGAGGGATTATGACAGACCATCTCGAAAATGGACATTATACGATCACCGGAGACCATTATTCTAACCAACTTTAAAAATTACGAGAGGTATTTAAAAGAAAACGCAAAGGAAAGATCTGAAAAGGCATTTTGCTGCTTCACGACAACTCGCCATCACAAACTTCACGAAAAGCCTCAGAAACTGCGCTAGAAAGTGGCTATGAAATTTTGCCCCATCCACCCTATTCTCCAAATTTAGCCCCGTCGGACTGTTTTTTATTCCCCAAACTGAAAAAGGATTTAATGGGAAGACATTTTGAAAGTGATGTGAGGTCAAAGAAGAGGTAGAGGGTTGGTTTTCAGACAAAGAGAGAGTCTTCTATTCTCAGGGTCTTTTTAAGGCCATGGCAAAAGGTATAACTGTGGGAATCGACAGAGAATGATTAGGATAAGTACCAAGTTTCAGCTTCCTACCTTTATTCCTTCATGGTCAGGTGAAAAAATACTGTTGGTATGCCACTCGTTGCGTTGATGATTTCGACTTTACTTAAACAAATAAATGAACCATTATTACCGATGTCTGTTGGATCTGACACCAGAATAATAAGAAGAAGAAGAAGAAGAAGAAGAAGAAGAAGAAGAAGAAGAAGAAGAAGAAGAAGAAGAAGAAGAAGAAGAAGAAGAAGAAGAAGAAGAAGAAGAAGAAGAACAATAACAACAACAACAAGTGTCGTCTCCCCTAGACCTAGAGGACCGAGACTTGGGTATCCTTTGTCGATGTTTGGTCAGCCCGTCCCCTACAGGCCTATTTAATCAGAAAGTATTCAATATAAGCTCTGCTTGTTTCTTCACTAGCTTACTTGTGACATTGATCTCGTGCCGAGACAGGAATGACCAACCAACGGTCAAGCGTTTAATGTCCACTTCGGGCCAGTTTCCGTAATGAGCTGGCGCCTCCAGGACACGATTAAGCAGATCTTGGATGTTGTTCACGTCATCTATTTTGCAGCTAATCGCAATGTCCGTTTATTTCTGTTCGCTGGCTGGGTGTATTTTAGCTATTTGTGAGTGCGATCATGAAGATACGTTGAGCCAAGTACAAAAATAGGTGTACCAAAAAAGCTGATGTGAATTATTTCAGAAAACTGCTTCAGCGTAAAATGATTATTTCTCCTACAAAACTGAGGGTCAAACGGTGAAAGGAGGAGAGGGGGTGGGGGAGAGGGGAGTCTAACGTAAACCGTAGAGTTACTATTTTCAGGAAAAGGTTTTACCTTTCAGAACAGACTGTTTGCTTGTTTGTTTGTTTGTTTGTTTGTTTTGTTCGTTTGTTTGTTCGTTTTGTTCGTTTCTCTCTGTGTTCGAGATATGGGAAGCACATCGGTACACCAGCGGTAATTTCGTGCATAGCAAAAGCCAGAGAGTAAACAGAAGCAACAGAAGGAAAGAAAAACAGTAAAACCTCCCAGTGGCGTCCTCCAGCCACCCACTCATTAGTAATGGAACAAAATTCAATGACATGCACCCTCAGAACGCTCTGTTTACTTTTATACAGTTTCTGTGTTTTGCTCTCCCCTTCCTTCTTTAAACCAGCAATTCGAACCGTGTCTCGGAAAAGGCTTATTTGCATCTAGAATGCTGTTAAAACGTACTGAAAACCAAGACGAACAAAAATGTCCCCTTTCTGTGTCCCATGCCCAGTGCCCTCCCCCACCCCCTACAGACACACAGACATACACACACAAACTCACACACTAACACACACACACACACACACACACACACACACACACATACACA